TTCACTGAAAACACTACTAACATGCATGTGACTGACCTATTACATTTTCTTTTAAGATAGTCTCTCTCTTGGAAATACAAGTGGTGAGTCAGTTGTTATGGTAACTATTTTTCTTTTTCTTTTTTTTTTTAACTAACATATGACAGTCTGTGTGTCATCTGATGCTGTTCCTGAATTAAGTTACACATTCATTTTTGTCAAATAGTCTAAAAAGGACTTCTTGGATGAAGAAATAGCGGGGAGAAAGCAGGATATTTTTCCCAGGCACCCTGCTTTAGCAGGTATAAAATTGCTCCAAATCCTTACATTATAACATGTCCAACTACATATGAAAAGATGCAGGTTTAGCTTGGCCCTCCTGCATGCTCCAAAGATAAATCATCATATTTACCCCTTTTTTCGGTAAGTTTCAATGTATAAATTCCTGTAAAAGAATCTCTCTCACCGTGTAAACTTTCTCACTATTGATGAATCTGAAACTTCAGTTAATCAAACTGAGTACTGCCAATTAAAGGACAACCCCAAAACATTTATGCTTAAGTTGTTTCTGTAACAGATTAATATGTATTATCCTGAATTATCAAGGCCATAAAGAAAACTTTAGCACTATTACAAACAAAACATTTTAAACATGGAGTGGCACAAAATAATTTTTTTCCACTCAGACTATTTAGTTACATGCACCATTTTAATCCATTAAAGCATTTATTATGTGATTAAATTTACGCATACAGTCAACTTTTTGTTAGCACGGAGCTATGACATTACGATGTAAAGAATAGCTCTTTTTTGTTACCTTTTTTGTTAAGCAAACTGCCTACAATTCCTAGAGCTCCAATCCTGGAAATCCAATCCAACCTTGTTTGTCTCGTATCCTACTTAGCCAGTAATTTTAATGTAGGTCTATCTGAACTATGATCTTTCTGCTTAAATGAACAACTAAAATTATCAGTTATTACTGCACCTAACTGTGTTTTGTTCCTCATTCAAATCCAATGTTACCAGTTGAATACTCACAATGGTAAAATAAGAAGAGAATCCATTCATCCATAATGAGCCTTCAAAAAAGTATCTGAATTAGCTATACTATTAGTGGAGTCAGTAGGTGAAGGAAGAAAAAGTATCAAATAGTGATAAGCTTGAATTAGATGGCAGAATACTTAAGGCTAAGTACTTGCGACCTAAAACCAGTAGGAGGCAAAACTTGAACATTTTACAGCTCCAATCTTCTAAACAATGAACGATACGTTTGAGCCAGCTTAATACAAAAGCTCCGTACATTCGTAGCCCTGGTTTCAACTGAAAGTTTGTTACTCAGTCTTGTAAATTCCCCTAAATTTAAGACATGTAGCACAATAACGTTCCTCAATCCAAAAATATGAAAAATATTCTAGCTGATGCAGCAGAAATGTGATGATATGAAGCAAATGTAAACCAGAGGGAATAAAACAATCTGGACAACTAGCAACATTATGTCACCGATACCAGTGCCTAGAAATGTCTGTCTTTATTACACTGTGATGTCTTTTAATAACATCAAGAATATGGAGGACAACATTCTTCAACATGCATGCATTGCTTCCATTGGTGTAGCAAACTGAAATAACCAAGATAACATCGATACTCTAAGTCCATTTAGTAATATATCTAATCCTACTTTAAGCAGTCATTATTGTCTTTTTAGAAAAGAGCCTTGGAAAATAATTAATACCGAAACAAAAAATGTTGTAAAAATACATCACTAGTAGTAAGAAAAAAAAAAACAAACCCGAAGAACTGCATTGATACTAAACTTACTAGCTTGGCCAACATCATGAAACTACTAGAAATTAATTTGTAAGCGTAAGATATGTTTTATGAGATAGCGACTAAAGAGACTTTCCAGTCAAATTACATCTAATATATCTTTCATGGGTGTGGATCTCAGCACCTACTTGAAATATGGAAAAACATCCATATTTAAACAATAGCTACATATACGGTATTACTAAAAACCAAAACCTCTTGGAACTCTTTCACTGACAGTTCATCAATACTGGATAAAAACTGGATGATTCTCCATCATTGCATGATTATATCCATACTATAGGCAGTGATGCATGAAAGCCTCAAGGATCTCATCATTTACCCATCAGCAGAAATTATTCCCAAGGTATTTTGAGAGTTAGCCAACATTTCTCTCCAAAAGCAGAGATGAGAAGAATCAGAAGAAAAATCAGTAGAACAATGGCTAGAGAAAAGAATCTTTCAATAGGTCTTCAAGTGTTCTTCATTCTTCTCTTTCTTCCTTTTCTTTCTTCCCTCCTTCCTTTCTTCTAGTCTCCTAGGCATCTTTTCCCACTCTTTCTACCACCTCTGCCTCACTAACTTGCCTTTCAGTGCCAATTATTCCAATGTCCCTGACCAAACACACAATCCATTCACTGAAATAAATGTTTAGTTAACTCTGAGAAGTCCCACTATTTGTCTGCCATGAACACTCAGAAAGACAACGCTATCTTATGAAGAAATCACTCTGGACATGACCTCAACAAACCACTTAAAAGCTCAATTTAAAAATTTAAAAATAAAAGCCTAATTCTTCAAAACCCCAGCACCATACAAACACTGTACTACTAAATACAACTCAGACAATAGAGTAGTGGGGTCCCCATAGTCTGCTGCAGTTGACATTTTCTAATCACTGAACCCCAAGTACAGAAAACATTTGTGGTTGAGGGATATTTAAGAATAGACTAGAATTCTGTGGTCCAAGAAGTCCTGCTGAAGTAATGGTCACATTAAGGCACCATCACAAACAGGCATGCGTAGAGTAGCTTTGGGCAAACTTGATCCGTGAATAAGGAGAGTCTAAAAATGAAAAATACCATGTCCCAAAGGTCCACATTTACTTCATCTGACCTCACGTGTGATCAAAAGCATCTGAGCTTATAATACTTCTCCCTTCCATGGAAGACTGATTAAACACATAATTATATGAAAGATTTCAAGTTTAAAAAGACACGGAAATTAATCTGCATTGTCTTAGCAGAGAATACAGAGTAATACTACTACTACTACTGTTCTCACTTAAAGTGCAACAGGAATGAAGCATCTACCTAATCTGGATTAGGATTTTTGTGGAAGGATGACATCTGGAAATACTGTGCCAGAACTCTACCTCCACTCTTTCTGTTTCAGTGTCCCACAAAGGGAAGAACATTATTTTTATGCGTGACCCCAAGATCTGGTAATGAAATGCCCTCGGCATAAGCAAAGAAAAGGAGGATGTATTTAATACTGGTAATTTTGGGGTATCTTTAATACTTCAGGTGTTAAGTGAGTGTTTTTCATTTATTTAGGTGAGTTAAACAACTGAAAAAGGACAAAACAGAACTGCATGAACTAGTAATTTTTTGCAAATTATGCATGCCAGTGTGACAATCAAAATAAGGGCGGGACAGCGGGAGACAGAGGGATGGCTAGGATGAACCTGTGTGTGGCTGTTGCACAGTCACTTTGTTGTTCTGTCTTTTTACAGGACAGAAGAATGTTTCAAAATTATGGAAAACAAAGCAATCATTTGTACATATATTATCCCGTCCTACAGGGCACAGCAAAATGCATCAATTAGCACAAGTACATGTGCACATGCACACAAACGTGCATACCCAAGTAGTGACACTGTAAGACTAGAAAATATGGTTGACTGCCTGTAACAACAGGATGCCTTGAATTCCCAAAACTATCTTTAGCTCAGTGAACTACGTAAAAGAATTACCGGTTTTTGTTTTGAAGTCCTAATATTTAAAGCAAAACACATTTTCTATGTTTTCTCTGCAATGCCATCTTTCCAAAAAACACCGAAATGCCTCCTCTAAAAGCGCTCTTTTTCTGTTACAACATACGGTATCCCATCCAGAGAGTCACCAGAGATTTTGTTTCTAATTGATTAAATTGCATGAGTCACAGACAGAATTTGCATATGGACTGCAAAAGCAACTGCTTGTTTTTCATGCATTTCACAAAGTAACACATTGCTAGGACAGTTACCTTTGCAGTCCCAGCTACCAAGTGGTCAACAAAAAGCCTCCTCAGAAGCATCAAATTTGAAACTTCAAATCAAAGTCACTGACTCTTGTGATTTTATTACATAGCCAGCAGTATTTTGTGTTTTTATTCTTAAACCTCTTTGTTGCAATTAGGGGATCAAGAGAAAGTGTTATGTCTTCTAGTGTTATGGATACAGAGTTAAGACTTTGTCAATTTCGCTGTTTCAAATCTCACAAACAAACAGAACCCAAATTCACCACCTTTAGAATCTTAATAGGCCAAATCAGGTTGTGGGTGTTTCTGAAGGAAAAGTGGTTTGTTTGATTCTCAACTCCTCACTGCTTGGACTGGCAGTACTAGAACTGGTTAACTGGTTACTCCAGCATCAAAGTTAATTCACAGGTTAAAGCTTGCTGGCTGTTCAATCACCAAGAATTACAAATCAGACATGACAGGAAACAGAAGAATATTAAGTCAGGAAAAAATTTTAAAATTCTGCCTGCAATGTCTGCTTGAATACGTTGTATCAATGTGAAATGGCTTTTGTGTGGACATAAAACTAGAAGTATGTGAAGTACCGGCAGTATTTCTGAACATGGGTGAAGGGTATAAAATCTGGACTCCAGATTCAAATTTTAGGCCCTATTTCATTCTTGGTAAATGAATTAAGACTGTAGAAATTATTACTTGAACTCTTTTTGATCTTACTGCACACCAGTATGTTTTGCCTGATTAAAATAACTGCAAAGAAACCCTAGGAGGGATAGATTTCTCTTATGAAATGGAATCAATGCCATAAAATTGTTTTGTTTCTATTTATTATGAGAAATTCAGCACTCTGCTAAAAAAAAGAAATAAATTAATCACTTAAGAATTACCTGTTTGTATTACTGCTATGCAAACGTACTTTTTCATTTTTCAGTTAACTAAAAAGCTGAGCAGTCAACTAATCCATTATCTTTACTTACCATGCTGGCTGCTCGAAGCATCTCCTGCTCCATATAGGGTGTCAGATCCAGATTCTGGCTCTATCTCCCTTAGGGACTGGTAAATCAGCCAGTGTAAATCCAGAATTGCTAATGACAGAAACAGTAGATTTCAGTTCCCAGATGCAACATATGTCAAAAGATAGCTTCTACACTCAAATCCAGTGAAAGAAAACAGTTTTGACATTTTTGTTTGTTTGCACTGATAGGTTTTAAAATCTTAATTAAGTCCAAATATCAGAATAAATTCACCATGACAGCCATTAGGTACTCAATACATTAAATTTACAGCTGGGTATACCGCAGAAAACATACATTAAGCATATATTGAGAACTACCTCTCCAACAACTTAAGTCTATTAGATTTTGTCAGACTGGAGATACAGTTGACAAATGGGGATGTATCATTCATTTAGGTTACTCCTTGTGTTTTCCAAGTTCTGTTGAAGTGCTGCACAAACTTAAAGGAGTGACTTCCCTAATAAACAAAGAATCAAGTTTCACAGCTTCAAAGAAATATTTCACTGCAGATTCTATTTCATCTGGTACTGTACTTCAAATAATTATTGAGTATTTACAATTCTGACATAAGCTATTATCCTTGACAGGGGAAAAAAAGAAAATTGTTGCTATAAAAATATATAGAGAAACCAAATGCTGGGTAAGATTTTTGAAACAAATTTCAGTGAGAATTGAAAGTTCTTGGCTTCTTAGAAGTACTAACACATTCATCAGTTTCCAGGGACTTTAGTGGATTTATCAATACTTCAGAAATCAATTATTAATTTAGGATTGCAAATCAATATTTAGAAGGATGATTTTTATGGTCCTGTTTTTTGAAGACAGAGCTTACTGTATTTCCTTGATTAGAGAATCCTTCCTTGAAAAGTCAGAAGCCACCAGTTGCGGGGGAGGACGGTAAACAACTTGCACTCTTTAAAGGCTGAATGTTACATTGCAAAAGTATATTTGACAACCACAAACACACCTCAGCATATAAAAAAAGGTATTTGCTACTATTTTTTAGGGTATAACACTTGCACATTTGCTGTAAATTATGAAGTTGGCATACTAACTACCCAATTTTAGATTACTGCATACACATATTAATCAAGGGAAAGAGATAATAAATTTGGCTCTTCCCCACACTACGTACACAGGAGTTAACTGTTTTCCTCTCAGTTTCTTCAATTAACTCAAATAAGTTGGTTGCAGAACTTGATGGGATTTGGTGGTTTCTGATGCCAGCCCAGATCTCCAGACCACGACTATCCACAGCTGATCATCAAAAGAACAACAAATAAATAGTTAGTATGTCACAATTATGTATTAACTATCTCTCACTGTTACTGTGTCACAATGTTACAAGTTCAGGTAAAGTTTTTAAGTCAGAGTATAAAACACTTTTACTGTACTTCTTACTCAAAAAGGCAATAGAAGGCTCTATTTTGGCATTCTATTAAATAGGCTGATGACGATGACTAAGGTTAAAATTAAGAGGAATGTTAAAAATTACGACTCAGGTGAAAGAAAATCTCAACCCAATCAGAATCAATTGAATGGAATCATCCATTGCAGCTTTATTTGTAATACCTTTCATAACATTTGTGGTGGGTTGACCTTGGCTGGCTGCCAGATGCCCACCCAACTGTGCTCTCACTTCCTCTCCTCAACAGGACAGTGGGAAGAAAATAAGATGAAAAAGCTCGTGAGTCAAGATAAAGACAGGAAGATTGTTTACTGATTACCACCATGGGCAAAACAGACTCAGGGAAAATTATTTATTGCAAATTAAGATAGGCTTGGACAGTGAGAAACAAAGATAAATTAAAACATCTTCCCCCCATCTCGTGCCCTTTTTTCACAGGCTCAACTTCACTCCTTCATTCCCAACTCCTCTACCTCCCCCCTGAGTGGTGCAGAGGAATGAGGAATGGGGGGTTGCGGTCAGTCCATAACGGTCCCTCTCTGCTGCTCCTCCCTCCTCACATTTTTCCCCTGCTCCAGCACAGGTCCTCCACGAGCCACAGTTCCTGTCAGAAGAACGTGCTCCTGCGTAGGCTTTCCATGTGCTGCAGTTCCTTCAGGAAATACCCACCTGGCATGGAGTCCTCCATGGGCTGCAGTGTGTATATCTGTTCCGCTGTGGTCCTCTTCATGGGCTGCACAGAAACACCTGCTCCACCACGGTTTCTCCCCCTGCAGCCTGTGGAAGTTTTGGAAATACCTGGTTTGACACCTGGAGAACCTTCTCCCCCTTCCTCCTTCTCTCACCTCTGTCTCCACGGGACTGTTTTTCGCACTTCCCCCCCCCCCCCCCACTCCTCACTGTTGTGCAGTGGTTTACCCTTTGCTAAATATGTTTTCACAGAGGTGCCACTAGCTTTGCTGATGGGCACAGCTTTGGCCAGCAGCAGGTCTGTCGCAGAGCCAGCTGGAACCAGCTGTGTCCAGCACAGGGCAGCCCCTGGCCTCTTTGGACAGAGGCCACCCACGCAGCCCCCCCCATTATCAAAACCTTGCCACGTAAACGTAATACAGCATTAAAAGCTACTTCAGCTAAAGTATTATTCAGAGGGAAAAATCCACGAAGAGTAAAATTTTTTGCTCATAATTTTATCTTTATGTTGCTTATTTAAGAATGAACTCAGAACAGCAGGTCCTTGCATTAAGCACCTGTAAAATTTATTCTCTCACTATTGTTGTTTCAGGGAACAGGAGAAAGTGAAGGAAATAATTAAGATCTCGACTCTCTCCTGACATAACTAGTGTAAAATTGAAAGCAATCATATATGTTCAAGGTAAAGTAATACAAATGCAGCTCAACAACTAAACAGTTCACTTATATAGGTAAAAAAATCACTTGAAGCTTGGTATATAAATTTGTTGCAAAGTTCTAACAGAAAGCTAGCAAACATGTACAGGTAAAATGCTGCCCAAGACATCCAGAGTCTCCGAATCCTTGTGTCTCACAAAGACATTCACAAACAGTATCATCTGTACTTGGCCTGGACAATCAGACACTTGTCTTCCCAGAAGGATGGAATGAAGATGTACAATCATTTCTTTTAATGAAGGCAGTTTCTTCACAAAAGCCAAGCTATCGTTCTGCCTGAAATACTTATCTAGACATTTATTTTAAACTGAAGTCCTGTGAATAACCTTGACTTCCACAAAAATGCATTTAAAAAGATTTAAAAAACAATTAAGTTTTAGCAATAAACAGGAATACAGAATGTAAATGATTGCATTGCTGAGAAAAGGGAAAATTAAGTCTTCTAAGTACCCAATGAACAGGAGTGGAACAAATTTTCTCTCTTCAAATATATCCTTATAGTAATCTGAAGAGAATACTTCCATGATTGTGTAGAGATTTCTTTAAGACCTATTCAATTCCTTATTGTTCAGCTTACAGTGCCAGAAAAAAAGGCCTGTTAAAGTTAACATCTGCTAACTAATCATGAAACAGACCATCACAACATTTTATAGGGTTTGAACATAGCTATGAATTTTGATTACTACCAACTTTGACTGGATTAAAGAAGCACTTTACTGTGAGACTTATGAAACCTACAAAAACCTATTCCTTTATAGGAAATGCTTCTAAAAATAAACGTTTTCGTTCTGGGTTCTGAAAATATGATCTAGCATTACAAGTATGTCTAACATTAAAGATATAAACAAGTCAATCAGGTGAATTACATTCTTCTGATTTTTTTATTAAATATCTCATTTTTGGAGTGTTAACATCCCACAGAGATTCTGACATGCAAATATTCTTAAGATGGGCTGCTGCACAGATCTGTTCTTCTGAGTTCCATTCCATATGTTTTGCTGCTTGACACAAAGAACACATGCATAGATGCTGTATTTCAAGTTTTTTGGATCATTTCCTTTGAGGTGATACATTCATATCTGAGTGAGGCAATACAAAAATTTACTTACGAGCATCTCTTGACCAGCTGCACTCAAGTTGGAACTACTATATTGTGTGTAAACAGTCCCCTCGTGCAGAAGTCAATTGGATTAGAAAAGCTTTCTATTAAGCCATTAAGTCTGTATCTTTGCATTATGGTGGGATTCATTTCTGCTCCATGCTTAACAAATTATAACCTGCTGAGCAATTCTTTACTATTTCCAATGACATAATTTAAACTAACTGGGGTTACTCACTTACACACATGCATACCGTGCATGCACACACAGAGGTTGTTTCTTTTGCTATCTTTCCAACTTTTTAATTCCAAAATACTTTTACTTTTAAAATTAAAAATCCACATTATTAAAACCATAAAACTCATCGCAAGAATAAAAATCCATTACAAGAACATTCAATACCTCACTGTAATTCTGCATTCAATTTGAATGAACGGCTCCCTCCCTTTGGGAAACACCTCAGTCAAATAGCTATCCTATCCCCTTTGCTCCAGAGAACTATGCATTCTAGGAGAACTGAGTACTCAGAGGATGCTAAACACTATAGTCAGATCATATTAATGAAAAGAGGGACAACCAAAGCATTATGTCAAAGACTTGTTAATAACTGGAGAGCGTAATGAAAGTACGTACCAGCAGGGTAACCATTGATCCACAGTCCATCACAGATGTCACCAGAACAATTAACTATAGCACCCCGTTCATTGAATACGTCATTTCTCCACTGCCCCTTTAAACAGAAATACACAAGGATTTTAAATTTCAACACCACCACAGCTAAATTATAAAGAAGGGATTATTTCAGCCAATTTTCAATAGCAAAGTGGGTGGTCCTCAAGGCGTCTTATAAATACCCTTCCAACATTTGTGTGAAAAGTTGAATAGGAGACCACACAACCACCAAGGATTATGCGGCACTCCTCTAAAGGGGAAAGGAGGGAGAATCAAACATTTCTTGCCTAAGGTTTGTTACTGTGGGATACTATTATGTGAGGTCCTTCAGTTCATATACTACATCGCATTAAATTACATGGTAAGAATGAATAACTGCTTTGTCACATACAGAATCACACATTATTTTGCTTTTTAAAGATTGTGAAAAGTGAAATAGTGTACTAAACTCAATTCCAAATAGCCTTGGTTATTTAAATCTGGACTGCATTTGACCCAAGATATACCCTTTACATAAAATAAAAGTTTAAAGATTCCTAAGGCTGCAAAGCCAAATACCACAGAAGCATTGGTATGAGTCAATTAAAGTTTCCAGCAACGTTAAACTTGCACACGTAATCATGCAATTTAGTATTATGTCATGATGAACATGCAGTTTTTCTAGTGTACCCCTTCCTACTCAATATAGTATAATCTTGAGATGATTAGTTCACAGCCACAATTTTACTAACATTAACTGATAGCAGAATCAACCGATTCCTCTTTGTGGTCCCATATTAGGGAGGATAGGAAAATCTGTCAGACATTTCACTGCTATTTGCTGACAGGACAGGGAAGGTTACAATCAGGAATACTGGTTTCAGTTTCAGATGTAAAAAGAGAGTATAGTATTGCATATTGTAGTATGCACTTTTATTCCAAGTTACGTGTAAAACATCTTGAAGCGCAGAGCTGGCACTGCTCTATAAAGAAATAATCAGACAATGGTCAAAGTACAGTCAAAAGTCCAGGTATGGGCAGTAAAATAACTCAGTAACAAATGTCACTTGTTTTATGTGGTACTAAATCCCGTTTAGCTATCAGACAACATTCTTTCAATGTTAAAGTACATAAGAAACTAGAGAATAAGAATATTTAAGATCTAAAGTGATCATTCTTCTATTAAGTTGGATATCTGGCTTTTTGTGTGATAACAGCAGAAGTACCAAATAAAGTGCTACCATAATTCTAACGTGTGTGAACCCAGTTGAAACTCCAGATGGATTTAGCAGCTAAAATTCTAGCACTTTGTTTACACCTTTAGCAATTACAGATGTAAGCTAGAAGATAAAAACAAGACAAAGCAGTTCTTTGGAAATATGCTTCTGATACTACTTGCTTAGCCTATTCCTTCCATCACTTTAAAGCACATGATGCTATCTTCAGCAGTTATCCCAATGATAGCAGCACTGTTGATAACTCTAATGTACCCAAGCTTCAAGCTCCACTGGCATTTTCACAGTCGTCTCTACCTAGTGGAAGATACCTTTAAAACAGTAGTCAGCTAGTTATACTCCTGAATGTACACAACAACTGGAAGAAGGTCTAGAAAAAAAACCTCACTGTAACTGGAATTGTATCTGAATTACATACTGAAATCATCGGGGCCTTCATCTTGCATCACTGCATGTAAACATGCAATAGGATTCAGCTGTGTACTGCTTCCTCTAGGGAAGGAAAAAGGACGGGGGTATAAAATATGCAACCTTTCCCAGTGGTTCCTTATCGCTACCTGTAAAGGCATTGTGCTTGCTTTCAATCAATTCTGATGATTGCCTACTATTGATGTCACTCATTCTCTTAAGTAATTAAGCCACCTCTTTCTTAGATTTGCCTTTGTCTCTCTCTGGCACATTTCCTTGTCTAATCCTCTTTTCCAGATGGCATAAGGATGAGAGATAAGTGTTGCTAAAAGTTGCTTAGCAATGCAACACATGCAAGGTTTGGAAATGCTGACGTCCACATAAGCACTATCTATACATCACACATTTATGCAGGGAAACAAAGGCGTGAACAACCAGAGTGACATAGGGGCCTCCAGAAAAAGAGCTACCAGTTAGTACACAAACAAAAGGGAGCAGGAAACGGGGAAAAAGAAAAAGCTACAAGCTTCCAGTGATGGGCTGTATTATACTGTGGGTTTTTTTGTTTGTGTTTGGTTTTGTTTTTAAACTAGAACAGGAAATTCTGCTTTAAACAAAACAAAAACCTTGAGTTTTAGTAAGGTCCTGTATTTTCTCTGATTCGGAGACATACAATGCAGTAGACACAAAGACATTGCAATCTACTAATAGAGACCAAAACAGAAATAAAGTAGTTCATGAAGAACAGTAACTGATGAAGGCAAAGTTGTTTATCATCAGCTAGGTATCAACAACAGAAATCCTCCTATCCTAAGAATCAGTAATAACGAATTTATTCTGGTAACTGCACAATGTAATTGTGGATTGTTTCTAAAACTCTAAAGTAAATGTGTTTATATGGAATTTATTTAAACCACAATTAAACGTTATGGGTAATATATAAGAACACTTAGTACACAAACAGTAACAATTTCACAAGGTCATGTTATCATATTAATTCATTTCTGCAACAGCCTACTTAAATAGGTTAGCATGACTCATTTTGTGTTTAAAAAAACTGAGATGTTAGGAATTTATTCATCATGGGTGACAACTTTGAAACAACTAGTTCTAAGAAAACAACTAAACAGTAGTAAATTAACTACAGAAATTGACATGTAGCTTTACTTGGGGTAGTCTCTTACTAAGAAAGATTTTCAAATACTAACTTTGATGGATATAAATTTTGGCAATTTTTATTCAGGAATTAACAACATTTTTAATGATAAGTTACTCCCAACATCATGTGGCAGGGCAAGGTGTTCAAAGACATCTGTTTATGAGCATAGAAAAAGATGTTGTAAATGGGTGATAAGAGCTTACCACTTCTTTTTTATTTCAGGAAGCAATTTCCAGTTAATTGATGAGGTTTCCATTTTTCAGTTAGTGGCTATTACACTTTTTATTGCAATTAATTCTGTTTATTTCAGATACAAACTTGCCTGCCTCTACACTCAACTTGCCTGCCTCTAACAGTATATGATTTCCACATGCTCTAATTTGGGCTTTTATCAATCATTTTCATTATTTGTCTTCAAGCATTCATCAAACTTATTTGCATGGGCCTGATCTTAGATATCATGTTAAAATTGCTTAACAGATTTGAGTAACGACTGAACCATGCTTTCCTTTATAAAAAACTTTGGCATTATAGCATACAGCCTCAGCTGACATTAATTTAGACAAACACATTATATTTAAATACACGGAGTTAGTCCAGTATATCCTGACTACTTATCTGGCTGAATATGTTCAGATAGTTCATGCTATATGGCCTGTTTTTAGAACTTGGGAGAAGCTATGTCTACTCCAAGAACTATAGTCTCAAATGTAAATCAGTTTGTGTCAAGACACACAAGGTTTTATTTCCCCCTCAAACTTCAAAGAGTTTCTGTACAATATTTCAGAAAGTTATTGACATTCGAATAGTTTTAATAAAAGAAAATATACTGGCTTAATATAGATAAAAGATGACAACAACTTTTCAATGCTTTTGATCCTTGAATAAGGAAATAAATAAAGTATTAATATAATTTTAAATCAAGACATATTAGAGAATAATGTTTTGCTGGCATTTCTTATATAGGAATGTGTGTGATCTGACAGACCACCTTATTCTCAAATCAGCATGTGCTTCAGAGTAAGACCAAAACCTCAAATTCTGCAGGCACTTTAGCACCCATTTTAAACACAAATTTCCTCCCTGATTATAGTTTATTCATGGGTTTATTTCTGGTCTGATAATTCTTATCAAAACCTCACTTTATCCTTCTCTGAAGGCCTTTCATTATCTGTCTTCTAAAATGAAGGTAACAAGCAAAGCCCTGATGATTTCTGTGTTAGGCTGATTCAGGAAAGCATTCAACAATGTTTCTCTTTAGCAAGACAGACTACCATAATACAAGATTTTCAACAAATCCTCAGTGTAAAGTGCTGTATATTACGGCAAAATCTAGATAAACTACAGAAATAGTAGTTTGGTGGAGTTTTGGTTTTGTTTTGCCTTTTTTTTTTTTTTTAAATGCCCATTACTGGTCTTTATTCTAACAGGACGACTGCTAATTACATCTTCCCACTGTCTTCTTGTCACATCTTATTATCAAGCATCAGAACCATGTATCAGCTAAAGATCACTAAAAAACACTCAAAGAGGCAATTAAATATACAGATTATGCATTCAGAAACATGTTCAGCACACTTCCAGGCCACTACCAGGACACAGTAACTTCTAAAAATTACTAGAGCTATGAGTGATGCAGTAGTCAGTGGTCCTACCCACAAGCAATTAAAATAAGAGAGTTCAACATTTACTAGTGGGGAGACTCATTCATGGTCTTTGTATCAGCAACAGCTTTATTTATATTTTTATATCATATATCATTATGTTGTAATTATAATCATAATCATGATTTGGAAAGATTTATTGTATCTTCAAATTTCATATTATCCACTAGTATGCAGTATAATCCTGAGCAATTGAAATTCCAGTAATTTAAATAATTTGCATCAGAACTGAAACTCTGACTCTTCCAAACAGGTAACTCAAATGGATTCTAGGGGGGCGGGGGAACAAAAGCCTGCAGGTGAAAAAGCCCATAAGGCTTGCCACCTGTTTAGTGTGGTTAACAGGTGTATCAAACAGCAGGTCTTCCTCTGGGAAAGAAGACAAACTAAACGCTGCCAAAACACAGAAAGAAGTAGCAACAGGGACAGAATGGAACACAGCATCTGCTTACTGGGACTTACACAGCAGCCAGAAATGAGAAATCACAGAAAGGAAACACTTCCATGAAGAAAATGAGAGTTTACTTCATTAACCTCTGCAAACTTCATTTACATGTCATTGTTTTCTTTCATTCTCAAATGTGTGCACATACAAATGCACTAAAACCAGACACGCCACCACAGGTCACTGGGTTTTGGTTTGGTTTTTTTGGTTTTGTTTTTAAATCAGCAGCTTTCAGGGGCTTTGTTTTGTTATATGTTCCCTAGTGTTCAGAGTTGTTTGCTATTACTGGACTCATCTGTTGATATAGTTATAGTTATAGCTTGTTTACTGGACATTTAATCGACCTGAATCTCTGAGGGTTCACAGACTACAATATGCTATTAACTGACAGCATCTACTTACTAAAAATTTATCATTTGCAAGAGATTGATCTAAAAATCTAGCCCTGACATTATTATAGTTAAAACTGAAGAGGAAAAACGGGCAAATTCAACATTCATGCCATCATTCAATCTATTCTATACTACATAGAAGTAATGCTAGAAGAATACCCTAGAGCTCGAAATATTTGCCCATGTTCTTTTGGTTCTAGCAGATTACTTCAGTATGTCCAAGGTACTATTTCAGTACAGGAAAAAAAAAAAAAATCCAGATTTTTTCAAAATCCCTACAGTTACACACAGTTTACAAGCATAGAACTATTTGTACGAAGTATGGGTACACTAACTGATTAGCAATAAAGTTTGATATTCACCAAGATATCTGACCATACAAAACAAGCTTCAAAAGTCTCGTGTGCAAAAGTTTATGTCAACAAAGCAGGCAGCATTTCCAGATCCTTAACTTGAGTTTCTTAGTAACTTGCCCTTTTCTGGGCACTGAACCAAGTCTTACCATTTGTGTTATGATTGGGTTTGCGTCCCCTGCACTGCCCATACATAATTCCTCTAATTAGTTTTCACATATTTCCTGTTTACTTCCATATTACGTAGGCTCATGTTTTGCTGGAACTGTGCCTCGATTTTTGTTGGACTTCAGTGTATACTGATTACCATATCTGTCGGGAATGTACTGGTATAAACTTAATACATACTGCGCACACAAACCCAATGGTTAACCAAGCACATAGTTTTTGTCAATTTTTCATTGACAACAACAGATCTTTAAAGCAGGAGGTAGATTCTGCTTGTTACTTGTACTGTGTCAAAACTGGCTGCTGAAAAAACAAGCAGTATTGAAAATTTTATATCCATTAAGTTCATTATTATTATTCTCGAAGTATATTATTGTCAGCTTTCTAATCTGAAATGAATATAAATTTTGTCAGAGAATGACAGAGCCACAGAAGACTTAAGATCCGAGACAGTGTTCGGGGCAGAAAGACAGAAAGAAGAATAATACTTATGCTACCATCACTCAGGGGAATGGCTCTACAAGCAGCATGTTGAAAGAGATTAAAATTGCAGAAACACATGGCTAAATCATTCCCCTGTAAGGTGTAGGTCACAGGTATGTCTTAGACCCCTTCCAGAAGGCTGGTTAGCTCTTTCATAATTCTATGGTAACAGGTTAAAAAAAAGAACTTTAACCTATTATTTTACCTGAAAAAAAGTATTTATATGCTTTTATTGTTTTATGTTAAGTTATATAATTTGAAAGCAGTATATGCTGAGTGAACACTTGCATTAAGTGGTTGTCTTTTAGGTTTGTTTTCTGCATAATATAAATACAAAAATCAACCAACAAGATACTGTTGTCAGTACTGTCAGGATATATTTTTTTTTTGGCCCAATATCTTGTCCCTTTTGAGCACATATCCAGTGTAAACTTAAATATAGGACTAAACGCTTACAACCCTACAGAGACAGACCAGTTACCCAACAAGTGTAAGCCTGAAGAATTTACTAATTCAGTCTCAAAACAGATGCTAGAGAGACACCCAGTGGTACAAAACTGTGTGTGCACACATGCGCACACAAATATATATACATAAAATATCCTCTCTTCAGTGTCTCAAGAAGTGAGAAGCTATTGTAACAACACCATTTTTGTTTAACGGTGTTTAGGTTATAATGAAACAAATGCACAACAGCACTTGTACATATTTGTATGTCATCTGTTTCTTTATCTAACAAGTATTTATTATCTTGTCCTACTAATTCCCAACATTCATATGTTCATGGAATAATACATAAAGATTTTTAAACTGTATTCAATAATTAAGTTTCGATTAACAGATTTAACTACAAACTTTTAATGTACATTTAAAAGAAATCTGGGGGTGTTGACAGGTGCAGAAAAGGAACCAAACCAAAAAACCAAACCCTTAACTGAAAAGCCAAGATATCTGCTTATGCATATACCAATAGCAGACCGAACTGCAAGATACCCAAGTGCTTTATGCTCTATCTTAACTACATCAACAGTATTCAGTAGAATTTTGGTTGTGATTTCACGTCCATAGGAAAAAATGTCAGTTGGCTAGAAACATGTAGTAGTTATATTGAATAGCCTTCCCATAATTTTTAGCTTCTCCGAACACGTAGTACTCTGAATTTCCACTAAACCTAGGGAGACCCCTTCTTTTCAACAACAAAGAAAACTGAATGAGGATCAAAGTCAGAAAGAAAAAGAGTCTTAAACGATGAAATCAGTACTGGGTTTCTGAACTTCACTATAACTGGGTAATGAAATAGTTTATGAAGTGTCTGTTCCAAATCTGAATACGTATGAAACAATTAAAAGTTACTGGTTTTGAGTTCTAAAGTTACTACCAAAGTATAAAATGCTACTTCTTCAAAGAATCTCTCTCTCCAAACACTTACCACAGAAATGATGTCAAATTTAAAAAAAAATTCCCAAGACAAGCACAGATTTGATCTCATTTAGTTTCTCAAAATTTCAGTAATAAATTTCAGATTTTTTTTTTTTAACCCTCAGACACTGTGATTGCAATGAAAGGATGCTATTCTTCATTTGTCATGCAGTAATTCATTTACACGCTACAACCACGTTTGGTCCTTAAGTCCCAGGCCTCAAGGTCATCTCACTGAATTACTAGAAAATAATCCACAGGACATCTTGTCCTGTTGTTTAGTTCACCCTGAAAATATATTCCCTGATCCTTCTACCTTGAAGTAGGTGTCAGCAAGTATGAGTATTCATATGTGCTTATACATACATTTCCTCCCACCCCCAAATCATTATGTTTACTCCTGTTTTAGAAATAAGGAATACTCCAAATAATAATCACAAGAAAACTTCCAAGTAGGCTACGTATCCAAGAAAAGTCAAGCTGAAATTGAATCTGAATTTCAACTATACAAAATACGGTTGGAATGTGTTAAAAAAAAATCAAATTTGAAATCTTTTCATGCGTTACTCAATTAAAAATGGGGACTGAATTTGTTAAATGAACTAACAGTACTAGTTCTAAACATAGACCTTTTCTGTTTAACTGCCTGAAGCATCCTCTACCATGATCCTTTGAGCTTTTCCAAACAAATCAGTAGTTTCTCGTAAGTCTTCTTCATATACCTCATATACTGTTCCAAGAGCACAAGGCAATATTCCATGACCTTGACACTTGTCTAGAATCCAGGCTCCTTCATAATTTTCCTCATTCCTAAAACAGTGAAAAACAAATAGGAAATTCTTAAAGGAAAACAGATTTGATGACCCGATACACCAGACTATCAGAGAAAGTGAGCCAATAACAATAAGCAGCAGCAGTCAAATCTAGTCCACACTCTTATGATCCTTCCCCTGAACTTCAAGCAACCAGTGAAATGGCACAGTGAAATTCAGTAAACCAAGCTGTACCATCTCTGAATTTGGCCAAAGTATGAGTCTCCTAGAATTCACCTGTAACCTTTTTCATTTAAGCATATTTAAATATGTATTTAATTCCTAAATATGAAAAAGTGACTAGAAGTAAGAGAGCTGGACATAAAACTTTTCCTGATTAACAATTCATTGTGTTTGAAAACTAATCAATTGTACAGACGCAATTCGTTTAAGGCAACAGTTCCATTTCCTGTGCTATGTTACTAAACTAGTTGTATAATTACGACAGTGCCAGTTGTTTTCTGAATCTTAACATCTTATCAGTACAGCCTTTTCCCTTCTAGATTAGAGCCAATAACAGCTTTTTTTCCACTTCTAAATTTTACTAAATATTACTATTTCTAAATACTTACTCAAATATTACTCAGCATTTTATAGCTTTTATTTTTGAAACAAAAAATAATTCTCACAGATTAAGTCAACATAAAGCAAGAACAAGAGCTTAGTTTCCTGGCTTTCAGTAGACCAATGCCATCTTTGAAAAATGAAATCATTAAAAAATAGTATTTACACAGCATAAACAGGTCTGTTCAGTCTTGACAGAGTAAATTTTAAACAAAGGTTACTCAAAGAATATAACTTACCTTCTCTCATTCCATAGAAGAGCTCTCCTTCATATTTCCCACCATCTTTATATTGCAATATTTTGTGTCCATGGAGCTTTCCAAACACAAACTGACCAAAATAAGTGCTTCCTTGAATCAAATATATGAGAAAGTTAAATACAGAAAGAAACGGATCTGTCAAACATGGTTTAATTTTTTTTATATATTTAGGGTTCGCCAGTAAGTGATATTTTACTTACAGAGCACAAATAGAAGACATTCTAAAAACCTAGAAGCTTATAATTAATGACTACTTTTTTTACTATTAATGCTGTCTAATGAAGACTATAAACGTGCTCATTCAGTCTTTATTTTAAAACTAATGAGTCATAATCCTTCTGGTCTTTAAAACTGACAGTGATATGTTAAAAGGAAAAGATTCATAGTATGTTCTTTTATGGTTAAGGAATGTATAAAAGTAGTACTTGAATTTCATAGTCACCTTAACAGCTTTTTGACGGCATGTGCTCATTCAAATATTGTGTGTCAAAGCCTGAAAAATCATCTGCTTAGCACCAGAAGTACTGTACTGTGAATGTACGTCACATTTGTACGTGATGTATGTGTGATCTTAGAATGACAGATAACTATTTTTCTGTCAAGTATTTACCCGATTTACTTGTATAATACACTATTCCACGTGGTCACCCTTTATTTTCTTTCTGTCAGCCTTACAGATTGTTGACTAAAGGGGTTACGCAGGTGGAGAGGTCACTGACTTACCTGTACAGGAACAAACAAAAACAGGAGAAATTCTTTTCTGGAGCAACTTACTGGGACAGATCTTTAATCAACGAACTTCTTTCCGCTCAGGATGCTAGCAGATGAATTAACTGAAATGTTCCCTTGGTAAATCATGCATGAGATGTCCCTCTGTAAGGGATAGTTCATCCAAGTTCTTTAAATCCTTTAACATCTTTGGCCTGATCTTGTGGAGCACTTCATATGAGGACAAGTCTGCACGTGTGTGCATCTTTGAAGGACCAAGATTTATCAAAGATTGAAGATACATGTTTCTGGTTTCTACCATTAACGCATTTGATTAACTTTCTGAGGTGACTGAAAGTTAACCCAGCCTAAATTGAGAGGCCAACAAGAAAACCTGAAAACCACAACTCTTCAATAAACACCATCAAAGACTGACAACTTGGACTAAATCCGTTTGGCTGCTTATGATACGTATTCATTTATCAGAATTTAATGGGATTGGGGTTTTTTTTTTTTTTTAAAGGGTATGTAATGGTTACAGGCTCACCTGTCGATGCCCAGTATTGAAATCCATTCCCCATGATTTCTCCATTGACAAACTTGCCCTCACAGTAACTTCCATCTTCAAAGAACAGCTTGTCCTGACCTAGGAAATAAAACAATACTTCCAACCCCTTTTAACAGACAAATGTCCACCTGTTTTCAACTCAAGTCAAAAGTCGAAACTTTCTCCTATTTTTCTCCTTTATATGATTAAATTTATATCTATGTATTGTTACCACCTTCACATGCTTTAGACTTTCTTAAGACTTACTATCTTAGCATCTAAACATTGACCCCCAATTGAAGGGATCTACAAAGCATATACAGGGCAGAAATCCTAAATCCATTAAATCAAATTTTTCCCTATTGGCTCTAATAAAACAGAATGGAATCACAGTTTTTAAACCTCTTGAAGTAAGGGATCTGATTTTCATAGCAGTCTGTAAGCTCTACAACTATGCTAGTTTTACAGGTAATGATCTACTGTATTGTGTAAAAGGGGGATCTGTTTGCCTTCTTATTCTGTCTTATAGCATGCAAAAGATTTAAAGACTACCAACGACCCTATTCTTCAAAAAAAAAAAAAAAAAAGGAAAAAAAAGAACTAAAGGGATTGTTGCAAGCTCAATTCATTTATGCTACTCAGGTCAGGGCCCCGAGTTCACCCAATAGGCCCCCAATTCCTCTGACAAGACCCACCCGAGGCCTCTCCACACACCCCTGCCCATTGTGTTAAAAGAGAAGACAACTGAAATTATTTAAACAATACAGAAAGACTAGGTTGAATGTTGAATAACCAGTAACACAAACATAAACGCCCTAATTTTACTCAGGGATACCTATTTTAAAATTTCAGTATAAACAACATTTATGTGAAGATAAAGATATTACTTTGCTTACTATTTATATTTGCTTTACATTGTAATGGGAAACCCAGGCTCTTAAATATCTAAAGGTCATTGTAAGTGTTACAGAATACACAGAAACAGCCAGCAGCTAAAGCGTTAGCGACTACGCTACCTTTGGATAAAACAAGAACGCTAGCGTAGAAAATAAAGCAAACCCGTAAGAGGAAAAGCGTCTGTATTTACGTCAGCCTAAACGCGGGAGCGCGGGCTTAGCGTCTCTTCGTCTTAACGAGAGACCGGACTTGGCGGTCGTAGGAGACTCGTCCTCGCCCCTCCAGGCGAGGGGCCAGGCTGAGGCGGCACCGCGCAGGAGGCCAGCGCGGCGGGGTCTGCCCCGGGGAAGGCTCACTACC